CGCAGACCTGATTATGAGCTTTCTCATGTTACGACTCTGTCGTCAACTATTGTGGATTTAATTCGTGCGGCATATGCAAGTGATGAGCAATATGTAACATTGCTAAATGCTCTTGGAAGAAACGATGGTTTTAACCACTTGGACATCAGATAATCGGCACGTTCACTGCGAGCCTACATCGGTATTTTATCAATGGTGGGTTGTTGTGCTATTGCACGGGTGTTGGTGATGTGTCTTGCATCTTTGATCCTCATGATGAGGATTTGAAGTATCGTGTCCTATTTGAGGCACATGACACTGCTTTGATCGGTTATCTGGGTCGTGAGAAGACCTATAGCTGAGTTATCCAGACGTGTTGGTGGCCCAAGTTATGCAAACGATTGAGCACATGTGTGCGTGCACGTTGAACGTGTCAACAAGTCAAACACTCTATATATGCGGTTACACCCGCTTGCTAGTTTACTTACCACGTGGTGTTTATTTATCAGTATGGACATTGTGTTTAACCTACAATAGGACTCGGAAGAAAACACTGGTATCGTGGTATTTGTTGACCATTTGAGCAAGATGGCTCATTTAGCGGCTGTGCCTGATTCCATCGATGGCGAAGGTACAGCAAAGCTTGGACTTCCATCTTCCAGGTGCTGGGCACCAGGTTGGAAATTTCCAGAGCGGATCATCCGCAGACTGATGGTCAAACGGAGCGTTTCAAACGTATTACGGGTTAAATTTTGCGCAGTGTTTGTGCTGATACGCCTAGGCGTTGGAAATGTTCTCCATGTGGTCTAGTTTGCGTTACATCAACGATGTTCATGTATCTATAGGATTTTCTCCATTCTACGTGAATGGTCTCACTCACCCACGCGTTCCGTTGACGCTTTCACTACGACGTTCTGGGCTTGGTGGGGGATAATTAGCAGATTGGCTTGCTGCTGTCAGCACACATACCGTTTAGATAACAGGTAAGCAAGTTTCTCGCTACGTGATTGAATGTCTTACGAAATGTACGAGATGCAATGGCTGATAGCGAGGACAAACAAAAGGAACAAGCTGATGCCAAAGGCATAAAGTGTGTTGAGTGTTTTGAAGCTGGAGACTTTGGCTTACTTAATGCTAAGAATATACCTACCAAGGTGTTGCCAGCGGTCTGCGGGACCAAGTTGCATCCTCGATTCATTGGTCCGTTTACGGTTGTGGCCAAGAAGGGCCTAGCGTGTACGCTCAACCTCCCACGAAAGATGCGAACACACCCATTGTTTTACGTCGGCTTGCTTAAGCTTACCTTGATCCGTCGCTGGTGGACCACGAGACTCTTGCGCCGAAATTGTTGGCGATGCCACAAGTCGAGAAAATGTTTTTGGAGAATATTCAGTTGTCCTTCAAGACGCTCCATTCGGTCACGCAGATCGTGCACCTCGTGCGCTAACTCGTCGACGACGCGTCGAGATACACCGACCATTGCCTGTTCTCGTAAACTAGCAAGGGGATCATCATTATCATGTTGAGCGAATCCTGTAGCGACGTCGTCGCGACGGTCAGTACTAGTAATCGGTTCAGTGACGAGGGTACCCGGAGTCGGGGAACTCATGGGAGTACGAAGCGCCACTGCGGCAGGATTGTCCGGATGCCGTTGACGTGATTCAGGGTCAGTCGACCCATACCGCTTCCCACCAGTCGTTGTGGGAGTGGAGAGGGTTGCAGCTGCAGAAGGAGAGCTGATGCGCGGGTCCGTAGCTGCCGCAGTATAGCGGGTGCGAAAGAACGATCACAGTTGGCCTTTGTCCTTTTGCTTTGCGAATAAAAGCGCATCTTGTGTTCGAGCCGAACGTCGGCAAGTGAAGCGCTTTCTTGAAGATTTGACAGGCTTGGCAGACGGTGAGCTCGGTGAGCCCACTACGTGAAGACGACATTGTTTTCCACCTTTGTATCACCAGGAAAGAAAACGGCTTGTACTGTCCGCATGGCGGACACTGAAGCACCTCGTGCTTGCAGATTCAGCCTGCCGAGGTAATCTCGAAAGGTCATTCACTCGACCTTCAGGTGCCTCGCTCTGAGAGACTCCCTCTTTGCTAGTGTTGTGGCTGTGGCAGCCTTGGATCCCGTGACCCATGTTGACTGCCCGGCAGTCTGAAGAATGCTTTCAACCACACTCGGTCGTGTGAAGCAATAAACACTGTGAGCCTACGCTGTGGCTACGCATTGTTCTTGACGCCTGCGGTCATCGACCGACTGTTGATGTTGAGCTTGATCTTCATCAAGTGTGATGTGAAACACACCCGACGCAGGGTCGACGGCTGCACGCTGTGCAAGGGGTGAAGGTACATTTTTGCGTTCCACGACTGGATTAGGCGCGATGCGCGCGGTGGCACGCGCCAGTGGCGTAGCTGGAGGATGGTCGTAGATGCTCGACGCGGAGTTGTCACTCTCATAGTCCACTATACCCTCTACGAGGAATTCTTAAAAGTTGTTGGACGAGATCTTTGATTAAGTCATTTTGAGATGTGTGGGAAAGGACCAGAACTTGACAGACCTCTAAGAGCAGTAAAAGATTTGTCGACACAAGGGTGTTGACAGTGTGGTGGGGGAGGGTGTAACGGGGTTACACGCGGCAATTGAGTCGGTTACGATGTGTCCACACCAAGTAAAGATCGTTGGATCTGAGTGGTACAGTCTTGGTACCACGTACGTACGGTAATACCGCACCGTATCGGGTAAGGATAAGGGATGAGACTTTTGTCATAGAAGCGCAATGTAGAAGTCATCAGGCAATGTTTTAGGGTTTATTACCGTAGTTAAAGTATGAATAAAGTACGGTTCCCTTTTTGAGTCGTTGGACACAAGTGCCTAGTCAAGACGTAGTGTGTTGTTATGAGCATTAGCCTTGTTAAGGCGTTTACTCTTGTTTATCCAGTAGTCTCTAGTTAGTGTGTGATTGTGTGAATCGTAATCCCTTTGGAACCGGGATTGTTAAGCTTGTACGCTCAATCGACTGTACGTCGTTGTTAGTTCGTTACAACAGAGAGACTCTTTAAGTTTAAGACTTCTCTGCTAAGGAGCGCTAAGTAGCTCCGCTACATAGGGGAGCAAACTCTGGGGCTCGCCTGTTTAGTATTAGTAATTTGCTGATGGAGAACTGAGTCAAGATGAAAAAGACTATACAACAGCAGTCACTGAAGAATGAGTACGATGCTGTTAACGTCTGTATTTTTCCCCAGTACAATATATGCAAGCAACGCGATCAGCCTTTGCTTTTGAAGTCCAGCATTTGCTTGTGTGAATAAATTCATTTGAGTTGATTTTAAGCCATTTACAAGCGCACGCCACAATAGTGACCTAGCCAAAGAGTGACTTCGGATAGAGCGATGTACCTATGAGGGGAGGACAGCCTAAATCGGACTTTGTACATACACGGTACACCTCGCCGCGTTATTTTCACATAGACAGACAAACAGACAAGTACGATTTAAAAAGTTCGGCATTTACCTTGCGCTCAGTCACTACTTGCTTCTCCCTTTGGGCTTGCAATCAACATTTTATATTAGTACATGTGCTTCTTTCACTAAAGCTTGCGGTGCCGTCAGTCTGGACACTGCTGCTCCCTAAGAACAAGAAGGAAACTAAAAAGTCACATCTCGAAGTTTGCAATAGATCAATGTGAAAAGGAAATCAGCGAAGCGAAGCACATGTACGCAGCGCATGCTTGCACGGACGCTGCCACGATAATGCGGAAGACACACATCACGTGACGTGCAGAGGAAACCACCTGTGGCCCATGTTAGGTGGTATCCTTGGTGCAGATGGTAGCAAGAGTCAGTGATCGATTTCGTTACGTTGATCTTCAACTGATACTTGTAGATCAGATCGCGAATGTTGATGCAGGAGACAAGCCTAAGAAACTTCAAGCAGTACTCGCCCACCAGGCTTTATGACGGCAGTAATGTCCATCTGTCTTAGCGCGTTGTATCGCCTTTGATGCGCACGAGTGCAAAAAAGAGGTCATTCGTGCCCCCTGTAGCGCATACTCACGATGCTGCACCAGACGTCAACCAAGAGATTCAGCGACTGAGTGGTGCCGTACAGACCGTACGCCCAGATCGTTACCGCAATAGCCAGTGTGGTAAGAACCTGCACGTACCTCTCCTGCCGCGAATTCCTTCGCGACCAGCTACCGCAACACATACGCACAGACTTTCGCGTCTATGCAAAAAAGTCAATTGCGTCCTCGTAGCACTACAGCCTGCCGGCAAGACATTGAGCTGCAAACCCACGAGTGTATCCGCAGTCGATCGCATACGTCATATACGTGGCTCAACACGAGTACCGTTTGCTCGTCGACATCGCCACATTGCAGCAACCAGAACCCGCCTTCGACAGTCAGTTGATGACGATCAGCGTCTCCGCTCTAGCCTCAACCAGTAAAAACGACTACTACCACATCCGACGTTGTCTGCTATCGATGGCCTCACGTACACATCCACACGGGCCTGACTTTTAGTGTCCTTCTGCGTGTGCGATCGTCCTTCCAACAACACTTTGCCGCATCGAGCGACATCAGTCCGTTTCAATCCCACTGACGTCTACCGAGCAAATCGAAGGAAGACGAGAAGCAGGCGGAGCACGACATCCAGTTGCCAGTGTCAGCAGCAGCGTGACTGTCCAAACATGACATAAAACTCGACCCCCCCTCCTGTAATCATCCCCACCATCCTCACCCCATTAAAAATAAGACAAACACGACTATCCCCCTCCTTTCTTAGTCTCGAATCTCCACAAAAGGCACCAGCCCCACAAGCTGCAGCCTATTACTGTCGTACACTCCATTCGCAGTCGGGCCCAAAAATGAACCCAAAAAACCCTGTCAATCCCCCTACCGAGTTTGACAACCAACCTCAAGCCAACCCCCGAGTCAGTCAGGCAGGCAGGCAGGCAGTCGATCGACTCATTGTCGCTTTTGCTCTGGAACCGACCACACGCCCTCCACTGCCTCCCCGCCCCCTTTCATGGACGACTGTATCCACGCCGCCGCTGCCTCGGGCATGTTCGCCCAGTGCTCCGAGCCCACTCTGCGCGCCATTTGCGCCCGCACCAAAGCCGTGACGTACCCCAAGAACGCCGTGATCTACCACCAAGGCGAGCCCCAGACGGAGCTGTTGCTGCTCCAGGACGGCAGCGTCGAGTCGACCAAGATCATTGAAGGCCAGGAGCACACGCTGAACGTGCTGACGCACGGAGCAGTGGCTTCGAACCACGCGCTCGTTCAGGATCCAGCCGCAGTGACCGTCCGGTGCCTCACGCCCGTCACGGGCTTCACGTTGCAGAGCACAGCGCTCAATGACGTGCTGGAAGACAAACAAGCGTCCAGGGAAATCATGCGCAGCCTCAGCAAAGAGATCCGACGCCAGGCGTCGCTGCTACAGACGCCGCTGTTCGAACAGCACGCCAAGCCCACGCCGTACTTTGCCACGTCGGTGGCAGCTTCCATTGAATCTTTCTATCGCAGCGGCATGAACTCGCTCTTGAACGCCCGGTTAACGGGGCAGCCAGTCGCCCAGCTCTTCCCGGAGATGCACCTGCAGATCCCGACGCGGGTTGTCTACATTAACGGGTTCAAAGGCATCCGTCACTTGCTCGAGAAGAACGTCCATGCGGACGAGTACGAGTACCCGCAGCTCGTGCGGTTTGCCGAAGCTGTGGCGCCTGGTGTCTTGATGACACCCGTGAGCAGTATGCTGGAGGCCTTTAATGCGGGACACATGAACCCCGAGTCGCTCTCGACGCGGTGGATCCGGGGCACAGCGCCTCGCATGCTGCGGGAAGTGATCTTTGGTGTCGGGTTGAACCAGCTGTCGGACTATTTTGAGGAACGGCTGTCGGTCACGTCGAGTCCTGCTCTGAACAATGCTTTCGGAAGCATGATGGCGGGTGTCGTGTGTGGCTACCTGTCGCACGTGCCGCACAATTTGTCGACGATGAAGCTCATGCATCCGCAGAAGAGCTACGGGGAGCACATGGACGATTTCATCCGACGTGCGGAAGTGCGTGTGCCCATGACGGTGTCGCCACGTCAGCGCTACATGACAGCTACAGCGATGGCGCTTTTGTTCCCGAAGGGATTGACCGTGCGGACGTCGCAGATTGTGGGCTCGTTCATCATCCTCAATGGCACTATCAACTCGCTCAAGGAAGTGGACTTGAACACGATCAAGGGCTACATGTCGGGCTAAAGTGAGCTCCCGGAGAGATACAATGGCGGTGACAACAGATGGGAGAGCGACACTAGAGACGACGTACACTTGCTTTGCTGCACCTTTTGCCAATCCAGGAAGTGCGTCTGCGTACGTGTACAGCAACTCAGCTGGACGTGACGCAACCAGGCGGACCAGATCAGGGAAATCTAGAGGCGCGTATGTTGCGTCAGGTCAGAGGGAACAGGGCGGCGTGGGGTAGTAGAGCAGTCGCAGCAGCCCCGAATGATGCAAATAGGAACACCATGTTTTGCAAGCTCAAGCTCTTAGTCGTGTTCAGCTGCTGTCCCTCGAATCGCAAAGGACACAAGAAGCACTTGTAAATGCGGATATTGGAAAAGCGTAAGTGTGATAGATTGCTACAACTGCCGAGCTGTCCTTGAGTCAAATGACCACCGCACGAAAATGACATTGTGGCGTCTAGAGTTGTCGCGAAGACGTTACATCTCGTCTAGTTTTGCACGAAGATGGTGTTAGTAAACTTCCAAGAAGACGGACAGTCCACGCTAACTGCAAAGCTGCTTGCGCTCCGTTGCCAACTCGACAGCATCAACATCTACAAGGCACTCTTGTGTGATAACGTCATGAGCTAGGTCGTTCTAGACCAAAGTCGCTGGTGCTCGACTGCATGCTTGTGGTGATGTCTATCGCTTCACCATTTTCAATGCGACTGCTAGAACAAGCGCGACTCTCAACTCTCACAAGACAACGCAGCAGAAAGCAAAGCTCAATTTGTTCTGGAACAGCACGAATAGAAAAGCGGCATCTACAAGAAACGGAGTCAATCGGAGGTTACGCATTGAACGCCACGTCACTTTTCCTCCTACCACACATCCATCAGCTGCAGCGTCGTTATCGTGGCTGCACCTAGTGCGAGTACAAGTCCGAGACATCCGACGAAATGGTCAGGTCGTCCGTGATCTTGTGCACAAACTGCTCTGGGATCGGCTTTTCCACGTACTCGTCGCTGTTGGCGCCATGCGGGAACGCCACATTCATCTCGGAGCTCTTCGATGTGACAAACTGCACCTCGCGGCCCTCCCACGATACGTACACGAGACAGCCGTCCGTCTTGTCGATGGCCACAGACGGCACTACGCCCTTGCATTGCACCTGCACGCCCTTGCAGTTGACAATCTCAATGCTGGACACGGCGTTGTCAAAAATGAGCTTGGTCTTCTTGCAAGAGTCGAACACAATGTTCTTAGCTTTGCCTTCCAACACGATAGTGGCACCCTCGCAGCCAAAGATATAGACCTGCTGCCTCATGACAATGCCATTGACAGTGACGGGTTCAGAACCAGTTTGGTATTCGATCTGCCAATTGCCGTTGCGTTCCTCGCAGATAGCAGGCTTTGTAGTCTTGACAGCAATTGCCGGCTTTTTAGCTGCTGCAGGTGCAGGTGTAGGAGGTGGCCCACTGTCCGGCTTATAGTCTTTGCGCCAAGTCTGCATGTCCTTGGTCACCTTCTTGAGTCCTGCCGTCTTGCCACTGCTCTGATCAATACTCATGATACCAGCAAACACATTGGCGATACCACCAGAGCCAGAGGCAGTAGCATCTGTCGAGGTCGAAGAGGAGGCACCTTCCGACGGGACGTAGCTCTCCACCTCTCCACCTTTCGGGTTCCACGTCACACCCGTCGTGTGCAGTGCCTTGACATACGCCATCAACTCAGTCAAGAGACTCTTGAACGACGTAACAAAGGCGATCTGATCCGGGTCAGATGTCTTGTACTGCACACGGATCTTGTTGCCCCAAAAGTCCGAGCCGCCCACGTACGACTCAATAAAAGGTTTCGGGGCAGGCTCAACGCAGAGCCACCCGAGTGCTTGGATCCCCTCGTTCACCATGTTCTGGTGGTTCGTAAAGTCGCTCCGGTTGTCCCGGAGCGCGTTAATCTCCTTAATACACGCTTGAAGGTTCTTCAAATGCTCCGGATTCAGCGTCGACGGTTTCTTGCAGTGACTCGCCATCAAAAGGTACGCGCGCTGCGCTGCAAAGGCCTTTTCCGTCACTTCTCCAAGTCGCCGCGTATCGTCGCCGAGCTTCTTACACGCCGAGAGAAACGGCGGAAGGTATTGAGCCACGTAGGCGTCGTACGCTTCGACTTGGGGCGACAACTCGATGGATGTAGCGGCCGCTGGAGGACCGGGAGACGAAGGGGAAGACGCAGACGCTCCTTCGACTCCAAGCTGCGCTTCGATACGCGTTAGACGCGCGCTGAACGCGTCCAGTAAACTCTGGAGCGGCTTTATGGCGTCGATGGTGGAGCTGCTCATATTGAGATCTCGTGGCTGTGTGAGGTTTTCTTGAATGATTTATTCATTCTAGTTGTTATTATTCTCCCCCCTTATTCGAAATCGTATGCGAAGAGCTACGCATGCATGTGATTGGTGGATAAGTGCACTGCAATGACGACACGACGGTCGAGGGCACGTGCACAATGCGGTCGTCGGCTCGTAAGGACGTTGACGAGCCAATCAGCGAGCGCGGTTTCAGTATACGAATCATTTTGATTGTGATCGAACGGTGAGTGACAAGTTCCAACCGATTTGATCGCCGGAACGTCATGTGCGACACGACTACGATCGAAGGGGAGACGGTTGTCGTCGATTGACGACTCTCTTGGATGAACGGATAAATGACGGGCCAAACGTGCGGTTGATTGAGATCGTGGGATGGTCTTGTGCCTTTTTGATGGCTGTGTGGCACTCAGACGTTAGTGAACGTCGTGCGACAACGATTTAGTAGGGGACTGTCCCTCCGCCTATATGGCATTGTCCAGCATGGTGCAATCGCTGTGTGTGTATTCGTGAACAATCGAAGTGTTGAAGCGAATGAACAGACAATTACCGGCTTGCGAAAGACGATGTGCTGCGAAACCGTATCGAAGCAAATTGTTATATCGCCATCGATTTGTGGATATGAGGAGACACGATTCAGAAATGACAGTGCCGTCGAAACACTGGATGTCTATGGAGACGATAGCGCACATGACTGCATCAGCGATGATCATATTGACTTGCTTCTGTTCGTCTACACTACCGAATACAAAATTTGAGAACTAACCTGCCGCGACTTGACCCGAAAGTGCTGCCAGTACGTAGAAACCTTCACGAGGATCATTATATGCATAACGAAATCGAAGCACAGAGCGTTCTTATAGACGACGGCGTGCTGCGTGTCGTGAGACTCCGCAGCTTGTTGGCAGTTTCGATCTAGTACGTATTCCACATTTAGGCTGGTAAGCAGCAACATGTTTTACGGCTCTGCTATTGATATTGTCAGCGCCCGGTTTTGAAATTGCCATAGGAAGTCGCATCTCCTGCCTGTCCGTTGCATGCAGCACTCAAAGCCACACACATCACTACAAACGAAACCGAACTACATGGCAAAACGGCCAAGTGATCATTGCCAGGTGGGGGCATTACTACAAAGACGAAAGATTGATTTACAGTCGATGTTGTGTTCTACCGGAGGCTGGATTCTGGACTTCCTCCTGTAGGTACACGGCTTCATACAGTTGTTGCTGCACTGACAAGCGTACAGTTGATTCACACAAGTAATTCTGCTTCAGCAGATCTTGGTTGAGCCCAGGAAGTCCTTCGGCTTACAGTTTTCCACTAGATACCCATCAATGCCCGGGCCGAAAGTACTGATGACGAGATATCCAGCAACTACCAACCCGGCAGCTACAAATGCGAACAGCTTGTTGGCCAGGCAGCATAGTGTGGCAGTACCGATCAACCCAACCCAGAACGTCACTAACACAGTCGTGGCAGGCCCCTGACTCTCCTCGAAAAGAGGTTCAGCTCCACTTGGAAGCTTGCCATCCGACTCATAGAATGTCTTGAGCAGAGCCTCCTTACGCTCGAAACGGGTTTCCAGCCATGCTGCAAGTTCACTCTCACTTTTGCCGCGTACCGCCGAGATGTCGATCCGCTCGATATAGAAGTAGATCATCCGTAGCACACGACCAGAAAGTAGCGACTGCTCTGACGGGCGTTCGTTCGTAGCATAGTCCATGTAGAACATGGTGATATCGAATACAGCGGTAAGTTGGGAGCAGAGCAATGGGAACATGAATGTCCAGCCTGTCGTGCGCGGATACAACGAGAATTGACGGCGCGGGAGACCGTTCTTGTCAGCAAAAGAGTTGCTCTTTTTCACATTGCTCGCACTGAGATCGGTGCCCTCAGGAAAGAGCAGGTACGAAGCCCCAGGTTCAGCCGAAGTGAGGAACGGCAGCAACTTTTGCAGATGCACCACATCATCCTCCCATCGGCGTTGCTGCAGCAAGCAGGCAGGTAGTAGACATTCAACAAGTCAGAAAAAGACCACTTTCAAGCTCATAAACCGTCGATACCTGCTACCGTACGAGGAAAATAAAGATGAAATGCTGCATGGCCCAGCCAAAGATGGGGATTTTGCGTAGCGGGGCCTTCAACACAATCCGCAATTGATGCAATGTGCACGTCCGCCATGCCACGCTCCACAGAAGCATCCAGTCAATACGCGTCCGGTGGTTTGATATCCACATCGCCCGGTCTTGTGACATGTCACTTTCATGAGCTTTAGTCTCGGCATCTCCATAGACCCGTACCTGAAGACCGAATAATTTCTCTGGATACAAATGGATAGTGAGCGTCCAGCAGTGCCAACGTCAACTATAACCCTAATCATTTACGCACCAAGCAGCAAAACCACTTGACCCATCCACGCCCATTGGCTAATATAATGTTTACAATAGTTAATTATGATGCAGCGAAATATAGGAGATCCTTTTATTGCCAGAAGCTCGACGCACATGAAGCGAGTGACGTGACGGTAGAAGCGTTTGATCGGTATAAACTCGGGTAACGGTATTGTCACCAATAGGAAGAACGGGGTCAAGACCATGAACAAAGCCGTCCATCCCGTGATCACTAGCGATGTGAAGAAGACGACTCCACTGACAGCGATACCCATGTTCGGCGGCTACTATGATACTTTAATCGATATGTGCTTGACAATCGATTTCTGATTTAGGCAGTCGTAACCTACGTCAGTGACGTTGGTCATTATTCATCTCTTTCAGATCAGAGTCTATTTTGAGCATCTAAAAAGGGTATTGTTAAATACACTTCACTTTTTATTAAATACATCCCATACACCGTACCTATATCAAACAATAAAGTATAATGATTCGTATTCTACCTTTATCACACAATAATGTGGTATGCACGACGAATATCGCACCTACCTACCTCTGTACGACCGCTTTCGCTGAACAGTCTGCATCTGTCGTAGAAATGGTAAATGGTTTACCAAGCACACTTCTTTCAGCCCGCAATAGTTGATTGAAGCTCTTTGCTTCGTAAACGAATTGACTAACGAACACGAAGCAATCGTCACTACACGTCGGATACATCTGAGTTACTACTTGGGTTAAGGAATGGCGACTGCCATGGTTCAGTCGAGAAAGGCACAAAAATAAATGAAACAATGGTTCACGTTTCACCGAGCGTAGTCGGATACATACGTCGCAGCGAATCTTATACCTATGAACGCAAATTGTATTATGTATCCATACGTTGTTTTGATTGAGCCTATCCTAAATCTGCATAAGGACCAGGTCATTGTCAGTCAAATAATAAAGTGATCGTCCAGCAGCACCACACATAACTGATCTCCCTCATCCGATTTGGTGTGTAAGGTCTCGAATCACCAGGTGCCTTAACACAAATCGTGTATTCGGTATATTCCCCTTCAGTCCTGAACGAGCAATGTAGTCAATATTTGGATCCCCAAAACAGTTTGCGACGAGGTCGCAAAGTTTACCCCACAAGATGTTAAACACGCGCGATAGTTTGTTTTTCTTCGTGATTTTGTTCACTTGTGCCTATTAATATCTACAAATGTATATCGATATTCTGCTTCTATGGTGCGTGACGGGTCGATGGGTTTATTACGTGCTCAAAGCTGCTTTCTGACTGATGCAATGGTCATTTCGCAGATACGAGATTGACTGATAAGAGCACTCGCCATTTGTACGACAGACGCAGATTGTTGTACGACTGTGGTCGTACATAGAAAGGAGGGCGCAATATTTGTCGTACATACCACATTGTGGTGTACTATGTGTGTAATGAATGGGGTGTATTTAGTAAAAAGTGAAGTGTATCTAACAATACCCTTTAAAAAGTCTTATTCTATTGCTGACCATACTCCCTCCGATTTAACATGTTTGTCTCTTTTCAGGAAAAATCAAAAGCAAGCTGAAAGCTGATTGGACAATGCACCTCACCAGAAAGATTATTCTGCGCTCTCGCGCTCGAGCCACCGACTGTCAAGTGTGAGGGCTTATTCACGAGCTTAAAAAGGGCGTAAACCGCGGTTTGTGCCCAGATTTCTAAATCGCCTGTAATCGATCGTTATTGCATCTTAAAATAGACGCATCATTTTGCTTAAATCACACTCATTTGCTTCAATAACTACAGTGCATATATTATCTGATTTCGTCATTTTTATATTTCAGCTTGAAAAGCCCCATAAAATGGCAATAAAGAATGGCTTCCATCATGCCTTTTTTAACGTATTTTGACGAAGCGACCACAGATTATGAAATAAAAACCGCCCTATTTGGGACAGACACATTAAAACGGAGAAAGTACTATTCTAATTTCTAGCAAATAAAGTGATGCATGCTGGATAACGCCGCGTCACTTGCTACAGCTCGAATACTATTTGTACGGACTATGTGCTTATACTGCAGCATACCGGTTTTTCATCCTACTTGGCGATTCCTTTATCAAACAGGAATATGACAGCAAAGGAGAAGACGAAGCGCGATATGAAGCTCCTTGTGAGCTTCGTGGCCATGATCTTCGTTGGCCTCGGCAACAAAAGTACATGCTACACTCTGCGTAAAAGATGGCTACATGCTCACTGACGCTTTTTCATACTTCTTACCGTCCTATTGCTAATGACACTGTTCGCTTGTTGGGTGGGATTATCAGTTTTCCAGAAGTAGGTATTCTAACTTTTAGCAAGGTTTTGTGTCTGTTGTGTATGCGTCCATAAACTAACCTCAGTATTTGTACTAGACTGCAAACGATTCCAATGCACAATTACCCGACGTTCCTTAATCTGCTCTCCACTTTCGTCTACGTACGTTCTTTCTTTCTGGTCTATAAAAATGTCGATTCTGATGTGCTATTTGCTGACAACGTATGCACTGAACAAGCAGATCCCCATCAGTTTTGCGTACATTTTGCCAATGATCAAGTACGGCAGCGCTATTACCTGGGACCAGCGCAGTATTCCCAAACAAAAGTTTGCGGTCATGGGAGGACTGGACTCGATCGCTGGCATTTTGCAAGTATTTGCAGCCACCTATTTGGGTGGCTCACTGATCATTCTACTGGGCCAGGCTGCTATTCCCATGACGATGCTGATTTCTAGTTTGCTGTTGAAGGCCAAGTACTCCAGCTACCAATATGTCGGTGCAGCGGTCGTGACGCTGGGGCTGCTCATTGTGTTGGGTGCTGGCGATTCCCATAGCAGTACTGGCACGGATTCGAACCTCATCGTACTATGGTCAATCGTCATGATCTTCAGCTGTGTCCCCATGTGTCTCTCCAGTGTCTACAAGGAAAAGACACTTGGAGAAGCAGAGCTCGATGCGGTTTACTTGAATGGATGGATTGCAGTCTTCCAGTTCCTGTTCGCCATTCCGCTCACGTTTCCCGCAGCTCTAGTCGGGGATCATCCAGTTACTCCTCGTGAACTCCCAGAAAACCTAAAAGATGGGTTGATGTGCTACTTGGGGCAGAACACTGTCATCCATGGTACCCACAAGGACAACTGTGACAAGGCGACTATCTACGTGACGGCATATCTGCTCTTCAACGTAGCCTATAACCTCTTGATCATCCTGATTCTCAAGTTCGGCAGTGCAAACATCCTCTGGCTGGTACGTGAATGAATGAGCAGCTACTAGAATGACTTTTCTGCAGCTCGTCTCACACGTTTGCGTTTTCCAGGCCATGACAATAATGGTTCCTCTTGGCAACGTCGCGTTCACGTTCCCGTTCATGCCAGAGCATCAGCCGCTACATGCGAAGGACATTGCCAGCTTAGTGCTGATCATGCTCGGACTCTTCATTTACCGATTCCTGGAAGAGGTGCTGGATTCGTGGAACAAGCAGAAACCCATGAACTTCCGCGAAACGGATCCTGCAGTGGATGAACTAAAGCAGGCGCTCCTCGCTGGTGACAGCAGCGACAAGATGGCGAAAAACGTTTAAAGCCGTGGACAGCACCATACATAATCCTGTCTTTTACAGGATAGCAATGTCGTTCACGTAATCTGCCGCAAGCATTTCAACCAGTTCGGAACCAACCTACTTTATGCATCGAGTCCACGTCCCCAATGATGTGCACCACACTATGCTCGAATAGCCGACGAGCTCCATTGACCACTGCCGACCGTCGTCGCCTGTCATTGAGCATGCTGGCCGCCGCTACGAAGCGCTTCGGACGCGCCGTTGGCACCCTCGGCCAGCCCCGTCTGCCGCCGCTGCTCACCACACGCATCTCTTCGCTGTCTAACGAAGCTTCAACGCCTTCGACTGACCCGCCCAAGCGCAGCAAACTCAAGATCCCGACCAAGCGAGCAGCTGCGCTACTGCAGCAATTGGAGGCGGAAGCTGTGGCCAAAGCTTCGGAAGGAAAGGAGATTGAGGCGTTCAAGCCCGGGGATTCCGTGGAAGTGCAGTACCTTCTGAGCCGCACAGGAGGTCGAGTGCAGCGTGTGAAGGGCGTCGTATTGGCACGTCGGAACCGCGGAACAGGCAGCTCCTTTGTCATTCGTAACGTGAGTGATGAACTCGTTCGTTGACTACTGGATGTCTGGACAAGGCTGATGTGCTAATGTGTTGATGTGCTTGGTGGTGGTGTCTTTTGTGTCGTGTGTCTGTAGCATATTGGTGGCTACGGCTACGAGCAGAAGATCTTCCTGCACTCGCCGCTGTTGCAAAGCGTGAAAGTGCTGCAAGAAGCTTTCATCCACAAAGGCAAGAAGCGCGTGCGTCGAGCTAAGCTCTTTTATCTGCGGGAGAAGGCGCCTAGCCTTACTACTGTCTAAGGTTTGTGCAGTCTGGCCTGTTCGGTAGGCTAAGCGTGAAGAGGGTAGAGAAGGTGAAGGTTGTCAGGTAGAGAAACCCGATGTGAAGTTCATGAATTGCAAGCTGAAGACAAGAACAGCTTTGCTTGTTTGTTCATCACTAGGGACATCTCGGGCCAATCGATAAGAGCACCTAGCTGCCGCTACCTCTCGGACTCCTTTATCTGCGTTTCTTCTTCTTCAGCTTGCGAACGCCCGAGCCACTGGAGACCACGACAGCAGCAGGCTTGTCCGACTCGGTCTTGCGCGCCGCACGAGCGGCTGCATCCAGCTTCAAAGCGTCCTTTTCCGTGCCCATACCAGCTCCTTGTGCGCCGACAAAGCGGTTTCGGCCACGACGACCACGCTTGCCGTGTGAACGCTGTTTACGTGGGATCCAGCGCTCCGGGTCCGGGTTCACCAGTCCGATGGACGCATTGTAGTCCGGACGAGCGCGAAGCTTAGCCAGGTATGCCTCTCTACGCTTGGTGCGCTTGCGAGCGATATTCTCTGGACTCTTTGCTGAGCGCCTTCGTCTTGACGTTGGCAAAGAAAACAATGAGATCCATACCCGACGAAGAAAACAACACATACACAAGCGGCACTTACTCGCTCTTCTTGTCCCCGGTGTCCACAAACTTGGCGGCAAGGTGAGTAGAGCGTGGAGCCTGCTTCTCCAAGTCAAGTGGATCAACGCCGCTTTCCTCAACAGCCGGAAGCATAGCACACCGAGCCTCCGCAGCTTCCGCATCGCAAAACGACCTGCACAGGCAAGATGTGCGTTAAACCGGCAACAGCGTTCACAATGGTGGCTGACCTAGCAATGAAAGCGCCTTACAGGGCAACGACCAGCGAGGCCATCGAACGAAGACGGAGGTCGCGGTCCATAGCTCCCGCGGTCTCGCCTTCTAAGAGCTCAATGTACGCATCAGCAGCCTTGCGATGTTGCTTCTTCTGTATCTTATACCAGCAGTCACCCACACGTATCGTCATGGCTCGCTCGGACGTGAAATCGCTTGCCTTGTAGTGAGCCAGTGCGCTTTCCAGTACACCTTGCGCAGACGCCGAGTCACCGGCCTGCTCGTACAGAGCGACGAGAGTCGCCACAACACCTGGCGAGTGTGCCAACTGCTCAATGGAACGTATGCATTCCGCAGCCTCCAGCAGCTTTCCTTCCGTCATATACACATGTGCGAGCCCGAGACGACCACCTACACTTGCATCACCCTAGACACAAACACAGCAACGCGGAACACACTCTGAAGTCAGTTTCACGGGCAAAAGTACACCGGACAAGTGTGCTGAATGACCTGAAGTTGCTCAATCGCTGCTGCCGGCGACTGGTCCTTAATGGCGAGCAGCAAGGCGATTTCGGCTGCAGACGTTGATGCGGGAAATTGCTTCTTCATGGCCTCCAAGCTTTCTCGACATTCCTCCGTCTAGCGACAGGAAATGTAAAAGAGGGATTCATCAATCAAAACGCACGCACAAAGTAGGCCTCATTATTCGTTCTCGGTATGCGCACCTTGTTCATAAGACAGAGAAGGAGCGTGCGGTTCGTAACGACAGCCTCCTGTTGCACAGGGCTCAGCTTGTCCGACAATGCCGTAGTGTCAATGTTCTTCAACCGCTTGAACGAGTCCATAAGATCGCGGTCCTTGCGGATTGTCACGATGTTGTTCGAAGCCACAATTTCCACAGCTCGGTTGTGCAACCTATAGCAAGCAAAAACACGTGAAGCCAGCGATAACACAAAATATACGACACCTAGACAACGTACTTGAGCTTCAACACGTCACCATAATCCGAAAGGGCACCATCCACGTCGCCGCGCATTTGTTTCACATATGCCAGCTGCGTCTTAATGACAGCAAGTTCTTCTTCAATTTCGGTTTTTGACGCACCCTCAGCAACAAAAGCGTCGCGACATAGACCTGCTCAAACAATTAGCGAACCAGTCAGAGCCAGTAAGCGCCAGCGAACATACGATAAGCGCTCGACCTACTTTTGGCGGACACCAAGAGTTTCTCAGCTATGTCCCAATCGCCCGACTGGATAGCCACCAAGGATTGGTTATAAGCCACTTCGAAACTGTCGTTAATCTATGATAATCCACTTGTTAGAACTAATCAAATTTCGTCACAAAACAGATCATCTGAAGTCTTACCAAGATCTTGCGGTCCTTCAATTCCTGGCCCCTGCCCGCATTTGCGTACGCTGCTAGCAAATTGGTTTGCAGCTCCAAAATGTCGTCGCCCTGGGTGCACATTAGCGCATTTCCACAACACAGCATTCAGATATCTACGCCAAAACATCAATTTTACCAAAGCCAACCTACTCTACACTCACTTCCTGAGCGCGTGCAAGTAGCAGTTCATAGATACGAATACTCTGCTCGTAGTTCCCGCTTCGCACATGCTGTTCAAGTCATCAAACAAGTCAGCACGAGTTGTCTCTCCCGCCTCACCCTCTCGTCGGTCAACTTGCCAATTGCGCTGCCAAATGCAGCTGCGCAGCGTTCTGCGTCTCCAAATCTTCTGCTTCCAGCAACTTCAGAGCTTCGTCGTCTTGCTTACGACGGTACAGACAGTAAGCTTTCTCCGTGCGCAGGAACTCGTACTTTGTAGCCAACTCCAGTGCCTTGTCAAACTACCAATAAAAATGAGAGACACAACCAGACCGTCGTCACCCCCTCTTCTCCCCGACTATAACACCATACAAATACAAAGTACAAAAGACTACGGACCTTCTCCAGTCGAATCAGCGCAACGCACTTGACTCGAATCGCGTCCACGTCATCGGGGACCTTGGAGCGAACTGCAGAACCACGTCACACGTCGCACAATCAGCGTCCTCTTCTCTTCTTTGCCACACATGCACCTGCTCTTCTCACTCTTGTTACAGATGTCCACAGCACGCGTATAATTCTCCCGCTTGAGCGCTGCGTTGAGCTCCGAGAAGCTCGCGGCGACCGCAGCTTCGGCGGAGACGGCGGACGCCATGGAATTGCAAAAGTACCGGTATTGAGTGATATTTGCAATAGGTATACCGGTGCTTAGTGTGTTGTTTCATAAAAAGCAATTTTCTGCTGGACAATTTTCTTTTGTGGGTTACCATGTCGCATGTTTTTTTTAATTCGATTTAGTTGTCAGAAAGCACAGTGGTGATAAATTACCCTTGCCGTGGTTATGTGGCTCATAGGTCCTTGCGTAATCTTAGATCACTCATAGGACAAGTGGCATTATTTTCGGTCAGCCGAAAATCTGTGGTTGGGCCTGAAATGCTACCGCCCTTGCAGATTAAAAGATGCCGCATGTTACGTACATGATTGGTTTCGTGTCTCTAAGATTATGAGCTCACGGTGACTGTATGTCTCTAGCCTGTGCCGCGAATCACAGTACGTCTCACAACGATATAAGAACATTTATCGTGGGCGAACCAGTTTTTCTACATGTACACAGGCGTCGGCGCTAAGTGGAATCTATGATGTTCTACATCGGACCCTGCCAAAGGAGCTAATCAGCTAGGCGTCTTCGAAGTTGACCGTATACACCCATTTACACCGATATCTTCGTGATTCAATGCACTGCTTATGCCTTTGCACACACGATAAGAACGCGATTAGTCCACGCGAAAAAATGGGACTCGAGTGGAAGCATTCCAGAAGTTGCACCTACCTGTACATGACATGCATACCGGAGCCAGGCAAGAAGCAATGCTGATCTGCGGTAAAAGTCAGGACGAGCAATTTTTGTGGTAGACCTTCCTTAGCAACGGATGTCCACAAAACGTTTGCCCACTTTAATATTGAACAAGGATGATGTTCCTGTCCCAAAGTCCGGTCGACAGGGAGTGTGGTATAGCAGATCATGTCCGATTGCATACGAGAATGCGATCCTTCAGGCTTCACTCAATGCATCCTGTAAACAAGCTGGGGTTCTTCACTCAACAATTCCGAGACTGACAAGAAACTAGAAGCCTCCTTAGTCTTCTTCGCTTCCTCCCGAGTTCTGGCTACATGTCAGAAGTTCGTATAGAAGTCTTTGAAAAACGAATGCGTGAGGCATAGAATGCACCGTACTTCAAGGGTGCAACGACACTGTATTCGATTCATTCGTTACCGATTATGATGTCCTATAGCGAACTACCTTTGTTTATTCGGGTCGATTATGTTCCGTGATGATTGCGCCCATGTTGGCGTTGCGCTCTGCCGTAGGAAGAGCGGGAGGGCTGTGACCTCTTTCAAACGATTAACGTCGCACGATCTCATTTGCGACGTGTTGTGCCCTGCTTTTTGATTTCGCCGCTCCGTGCTATTCGAACGTACGTAACCTACTTCTCATCCCCTCATGGTTATTAGCTCAATCTGTGTGTTTACTGCTTTTAGCGCTCAGGCACACCCAATGTTAGCTCACGGCTAGTCTGAACGAAGTTCACCGTTATGACGTGATGAAGTTCTAGATAACATTGATGCAAAAGTTGAATCAGGGTTTGTACAGGTGGGAGGAGTAACAGGTGTAGTTGTGTCAGATTCTGGTTTATGGACGATATGTCCGCCATTTCATCAAGCATTCATGCACATTCCGGACTCGATCACGCACACCTATTATCGCAGAGCGCTTTTGTCTTTACTCTGTGACTTGATGGTCCAAGATGCGGCTTCTGTCCTATAAACAAACAGCCGCTGCCATTGCGTAGAAGTAGAATTGCTGTTGTTGAAAGTGAGGGATATCGAGGAGCATTTCCAACCAGCAATACCTCCAAAATGATGACCACGACGATAAGCTGTTCTAACATCTCATTTGCGGAAATCCTCACATCACATAGTAACTTGCTGAAGACAAGTATGACGTTTACCTCACATCTTGATATTCAATCTCACTCTCCCGGTCAATGTGTATTGAGCAGTAATGCAAATCATGCGCAAGAGCACTGCATCGTGGACTTATTTTCAGCGAGTCATCGTACCAATTATCTATAAATTAGGAGTTGTGCAGATGACACAACGCTGGGTTAATTTGCTAGCACAAGCTATTGTGCTTTTGCAAACAAACTAGCTCAGCCTTGTGTCGTCTGCACTTTCGAAAAAAATAATTGTCGACGTGTCATCTGGGCAACGCCTAATGCCGTGTAGAAAATGTTTGTCTGTAAACCCGAAACCCACTGTATACACTACCACGACGCTGTTTCACGCAATTCAGTTATGGCTTTGATAGCGACCCTACCAATTTGCAAATTCGCAGACACGGAGATGTGTTATTGTAACAAGCAGATTAGCAAGCGCGTTGTATCAGAGTGACACTATCGGCAATACGTGTCGCTCGGCACCATATAATTACCAGATGCGCTTACTTGGTTTTGAGTTTGACGACAGTCTCCCTGTTCTGATCAGTCTACTTGCCAGTAATGCGTTCAAAATTTGATTCAGTACAAGTGGTGCGTTGCAGTCGGCATCACAACACTCGCATAGATATCACGCACCCAGTACGCATGCGCTGGACTCCGCAGAAATGTTTTGTTGGTATTTCACAAACATGCACTTCATGGTAAGTTGCTCGACCGTACCAGAAAGGACGTTGGATATTTACAGCCCGACAAGCGCCTCGTGGCCGCTCAAATGACACAGGATGGTCAAATGTGTATCGAACACTGTCGCCTTTCGAACACTATCGCCTTTTGCCAGCCAAAAGACTCCTTAGACGTGTGAGTTGGCTCGGGTTGTTTTGCAGGTCCTTCAACACGCGATGCGAAGACTTAAATTACGCCTATCCCGATGGTCATACATGCAAATTGCGCGACCGTCTTCATGCGCGGAAAATGTCCACATGTGCACTATCCAGCTCTTTGGTGTCCAATTTACCTTCGAGTATGCAACTAATCAGGTTCGTGCATAGCAACGAGACCAAGTCGGATTTGACGCTGACACCCAAGTCCGTGGAAATGCAATGGCAGTGGCCGCATCCAGAATTCGAGCACAAACTTTGATCTAGATGCAGCCGCGGACAAATCGGCAGTGCTTATCGCGACTGCAGAACGGCTTCATGTCGACTTGCAAACAGTAGCCGCAGAATAAATTACTCTTGATCGCAATTTTCTGTAAGTCAGTCACTTGTCTTTGACTGCGTTCTGCTTGCGGCATCAGCGCGATCTACACGAATTATGCATTCAAGTCTACCAGCTATTGTTATGAGATGTACTTTGTGCATAATAGTTGGTGGCTTGGTAGTGTGTTTGGTCGCTGCCAACTACACCATACACATGCCGTCTAAGGAGCTTAGTATCTATTCTGCCGAATGTTCGTCGTGAATACCAGATACAAAGCTTGTCGTGGGCAGCAAGACTTTATGGTTCCAGGGATTCTGTGCTGCATCAAACGATAAAATAGGTAAGCATCTTCAATTGGCATCAGGTCAAACCTGCTCTGCCTGCATCACAGTATCGATTCGAGAAGGTCTTTTGTGATTAGTACTGTCACAGCACCTGCACAAAGAGTTTTCCGATCAGAAACTGTCGAAGCACCTGTAGCCCGACAAATGCAAGACCGCGAGAAATGCTTTACTACAAGAAAGCGCAAAATTGTATCAGCGCTGAACTTCCGGTCGATTCGTTTGCCGCACGTAACTGTCCACTCTCTACGTCGTTCACTACCATAGCTTGGAGCATCGAAGTCAAACGGAGAAATGATGGAGTGAAGTACTGAGTACGAGCTTGTTTGACGCTTGATACCAGTCATGCCCTTGTCGCCTATGTAATGAACTCTTCCGACGCATGTTGGACCGAATGCGAAGTGTGTCAGCTAACAGCTGCTGAAGAAGGCAAATCTTGAAGTTTAGTCGTAGTGTAGTCGACCGGTTTTCAAAGCATAAGCTGCCGTACATCATGACGGGCTTCGGACTTGTCAGCTGTCGTCAGGTTACCAGATTTGTGACACTCCCAGCAGGAATTCGTAAAGACAAGAAGGAGTGATGCACATAAGAAGTAGAGCACACATGAAAAACTCACGCATTCTATGGCGCCTTGTACAAGACTAAACTCTGGCTGCAAACAAGTCCGAAGGGCACCTTGTTATCCGTGCAAATGATAGGTAGTATCAACAGCCTATTCTCAAGCGTGCTACGTTCCCACGGCAGCTACGCAAACAAGCACACATTCACCCCACCACAAGGACAGAAGACGAAGGCAAGTTACCCACGTGTTGGAGACGAGTATTTGGTGCAAAGCGTCTTGATGACGAGTCTTTGTCGAACTCAATTCTCCCAAAGAGATCTTCCAGCCATCTAAATCGTAAAATCGTAGCCATTTTATTCTGAAAGCCAGTAAGCGTGTGTGCATGACCGGAACCCGGTTTTTCTCTGAACTAGTGCTGTTGAAGTGCTCGTCTTCTCACTAAGGCGTGCTATCGCAATTATGACAGTAGCACTACGGCCCTACAAAGAACTATTCATCAATTTTACTTGATGCAAAACGAACATTGTACGACCACTCACTCGTTTCCCATCTCTCGATTTACTCCAACCTGCGGCGGTTCACTCAGTGTTGGTCGGGTAAAACTTCAAGAGAATAGTTGCTTGTGATTGGTCAAATTGTCAGTGTAATTTCTACCAGTCTAACGCCAAGAAGAGATTCCTTTTCAGTTCTTCTTCGCACTGCAGCCCCATGGAGCTTGACCGAGCAGACGAGGAGGCGCTGCTGGATAAGGATCCACAGCAGGGTCTTGCAGGGAAACGCAGTCAGCACCAGAACTGGCTCTTTGCCATCGCCTTTGCCGCCAACTGTGGCATCGTGAGCTTCATCGCGGTCGGTACTTACTCCCGAGCCTCCAGCTGTTTAAATTGATACGAAGAAAACCTGATTGGGACTTGGTGCCTCTTTGTTTTTATGAACTCTTGCTGCAGTTCTGCTACGGGTTTCCAAACGTGTCAAGCATCTACTTTACCGTGCACCACAAGGACGATTCGTCGCATGGTCTCAAGATTTTTCTCATCTTCCTGGCGACGTCCTGCATTGGCGGTGGCGTCTCGGCGCTGTGGCTGCAGGTGCTGCAGAGTCAAACTGAACGGGTGATATCCTGGACCTTCAAAAGCAGCATTGTTGCTTTCGTTGCAGCGTCATTCGTAGCCTTTTACGATTCGGGCATGGCCGGCAAGGCTATTGGTTTTCTCAACCTGTTCTTCGCCTTCATGATCATCTCTTTCTACGCCTCTGTCAAGCGCTCGATTGCCTTTGCAGCATCCAATTTGACAGCTGCTTCTCGTATATTAAGGGTGTTTTCGGGCGTGATTACGTCGGCGTACATTGCTTTATTGGCACAGGGAGTATGGGTCATCATCTGGGGTGCAGCCGTCATGGGTGTTCTTGCTAAGGCAGTTGAAAACCTACACGACTTGAGCTCGTTTGGCAACACATGCTTCTTCTTCCTTCTTCTGAGGTACGTACGCATTCGCTGTGGTGTCGATGGATTTCCTCCACCTTTTGACGCAGATATGTGGTGCCTTCCATACCACAGCTTTTACTGGTTTATGCAGGTTGCCAAGAATACGGTGCACTGCATTGCTGCTGGTGCTGTTGGCGAGTGGTGGCACGCCTGTCACGATGTGAACACAGTTCAGCGGGCGCAAACTCGTGCGCTTACAACGTCTCTCGGCTCGATTTGTGTTGGGTCTTTGGTGGTCGCTGCGCTGAGTGCATTACACACGCTTCTGCTATCGTCCCCACGTCGAAAGGCCAGGGGTAGTGCCAACGCATGTCTAGAGTTCCTGGTAAAGTTGGTCGTACGCAATATGCAGTACTTCAACAAGTACGCATTCTGCCAAGTAGCTTTGCACGGAAAAGACTTTTGGACTGCTGGAACGGACACGATGCATCTTTTCCGGGACCGTGGTTGGACAGCACTACTGAACGATTCACTTATATCAAGTGTTCTTGCTATAGGTTGCCTGGCTGTCGGTACGTAGTAGGTATAAAGATGTGGTATCATCGTCACTGATCGTACTTCTTTCGGTTTTCGATGTCGAAAGGCACCGTGTCTGGAGTCGTGGGCTCGGTATGGATACATGTAGCGCTGCGCTGCACACCGGACGAACTAGCCGAGCACCCGAATGAGTGTCGTACGTGTTTCTGTGCTGCGAAAAATGGGACGAAATAAGGTCACTTACTGAGACTCCTTTTGAACTATGCAATTGTGCAGAGACTTTCAACATTATAGGCCTGACCTTTGTGGCATGTGCTTCGATTGGTTTTACCATGTGCATGACCATGTCTTCCGTTCTGGACTCCATCGTCGCGACAATCTTCGTTTGCTTTGCCGAGGTTCGTTTCCCATTGACATACCTGTTATCCGTAGCAAGGGTACAGTCAGAGAATGGATGTGGGTATCCTGGTCAGATATGCTAGAGGCTGCCATGGTCTGCATGAATTTACGTTGTGACTGGTCTCATACTTTATTGTTTTATGTCATGTCCGAGCAGGATCCTGCCGCACTGCGTTGTTCACATCCAGAGGAGCACGCGCGTCTCGTCGAAGCGTGGGGTCGCCTGCAGCCAGACTTGCTGAGCTTCCCGACTCACATGGTGTGAGGCTACTTATTCTCGCTTTAGTTGCGCAGAAAAAAATTGTGTTCAAGCCTGCAATATGACGAGAGGCGAATGTCAAAGTTTGATAGTGCCGATGTCATGCATTTGATTCACTCTAGTTCCATTCACCTTGATATTCCTCCGAAAAAGCGTAAAGTACAGCTGTGTAATGTCAGTATGTAGTACGCGCAACGGGGTAAGCCCGTTGCATGATTGAGACTCATTTACACGGGACGCAAGCCAAGATCTGCCACTTTCGAATTACAGGCTCGCCCGATGCGATTCGATTCTCGTTTTATACTTGTCCACGACGTATTGATAATTTACGCAGACTACTCAGATCAAATACATGCATGAGCGATAAAACCCCCTGGACGGATTGTAGCGGGGTAGCCCGTTACATGATATTGACACCAAACGGTGTCAAAAGGGAGATTGTCTAGCGTGACGGTTCCCTACCTATATTATCCGAGATAGATAATACTGAAGGAATGCTATTCCCTTGTAGAATCATATCCATGCGCAGCTCATAGATTGGTTGATAAAAACATATCAACCAAGGTTACCACCAATTGCTGCTGGACGCTAGTAATGAGTGGTGAGCAGGTTGTCGTCATACGACGACGTAGTTTAATGTAGTTAGATAATGACTGAAGTCCTATTGATAGCTTAACTATATTGAACACAGTTCTCCTTATACCCTTCACTCAAAAAGCTAGTCTGAGTAAATTAGCTTCCTCTACACGTACTAGTGTACGTGAACTTTCACGGCACCCCAAACAAAGGGTGCCCCGTTACACCTGGTAGCACTTTGTAGTCCGTCCAACGACTACTTAGTGTCCGTTTAACATGAACATGTTGGACGTAGAAGACGACAGCTTTCACGTCACACGTGAAGGCTACTCCCATCTGAGTGACTCGGAATGGGAGATAGTCAGCCGCATGAGCGTGCTCATGGGCGAACCCGCCATCTGTGACATGTTGGAGTCTTTAAACAAAGACCAGCAACACGCTGCTATCAGCAAGTTCCTACAAGGAGAACTTGCTGTCGAAAGACAGAAGATAGCCTTGCTTCAATAGCAAGGCTCTCATCAGTCGATGGGCGGGCCGGCGCACACGCATCGACCCGAAACCTTAAGATTGATATATCAAGGTACAAGGGAACCGATGAAGATTCCCTTTCAAGATGGTTCGTCGAGTTAGACGTCGCCATCAGGGCCCGTCACATCGAGGGTGACGAGATGCGAGTCACCTTCGCCCTGTCAAATTTGATATGACGAGCAAAGACTTAGGCCTTAGGGCTCAGGCTTCACGCCCCAAGCGTGTTTGAGTCGTTAGAGACCTTGAATTCTCGTCTCAAAGACACGTTTGAGCCGCCAAGAGCCGAGTTCAGAGCACTCTGCACTACTGAGGCTCAAGCGAGGTAAGCGTGATGTACACGCTTACGCGCAACACCTACGCTACCTTGCGGGTAGCGTCACGGAAAACCCTGTTGATGAGCACACGCTCATCAACGTGTTCATCTACGGCCATGTAGATAGACTGGTGAAGACCTTCATATTCCGAGAGGACTTCCATACGCTGGAAAAGGCGATAGCGTATACGGGACAAGAAGACTATAGCCTGGATGAGAGTCTCAGTCTAATTCATCAAACTATCGTCCGACAAGACTACAGGAAACCGAAGGTCCCGAACCAATGGATCTCTGTTATATCGAAAGCGTGAACTCTCGCTCTCTGAGTCACAAGCCAACGGCAAGATGTCATCGCTGTTAGAAGATCGGACATTACGCTCATGAGTGTAGTGTCCCAAGCACCGCATCACGTTCAAAAGACAGTGCGCGATGACCGCCGTTGGCCGAAGAAAAGTCCAAGGCGCTGGTCCGACCATGTCGCTAAACCGCGACAGCAAGTCGGACCGCCAAAAACGATCAGAGTCAGTAGGGGCGGAGCACCCTGCTAATCCAGTAACGTCAAGAGAATTTGCAGGACTTCTGACGAAGATTGCTCTAAACACACAGTCTCTGTGTGTTACTGCCCCTAGATGTGAGGTGTCCCTCACTTCTTTGACGATCGAAGTGACAAGTGGAATGTCACTTCGTGCCCTAGTTAATTGTGGGGCGTCAAACAGGTTAATTCGACGCCAGTCTCTAGAAGATAGTAGACTCAACGATGTTGAGCAAGAGATCCCTCCAACGAGGATGACGGTGTGCCTTAGTACAGGCGCATTCATAACAGTAAACAAGCGTGTAGTGGGAATACACTACACGCTAGAAGGAAAGCAGTACGATGATGACTTCATCTTAAAGGATTTGGATGACAAGTTCGATGTCATCCTTGGTCTGCCATGGTTTAGAAAGTACCAACCATGGATCAGCTGGAAGCATCGATCCGTGAAGATGCCAGCTGTTTGTTCATCAGTTGGCCATCCGACAAACGTTTTGGAGCGTCCACAAGCGTGCGGATGTACTACGAATGAGTTTGATGGCCTCCCTTGTGGTACGGTCGTTAGTATGACTGCACAAGATCACAGTGTTGAAGGCCACTACACTGTGGAACCAGCTTCCGACACCTGCATAGAGACACAGGCTGCGCCAAAGGTTCACCACTTAAAGAGATCGGGTGGACTGGAACACGGATGCACACCAACAAGGGTGCATCCAAGAAGATAGATTAGTGTTGTTAAAAATGAACAACATGTTGAGGCGATGTCGACTATCAGAGAGTCTATCGTGGAGCAAACCCGATTGATTAAAAGAGATTCAATCGAAGAGTACGTGACTGTGGTAGTGCACCCACAGTGAGTACACGTAATGGAAGAACGTTCCAGCGTTCCTGAGATTGATAAATCCCGAAAGAGTTATGTTGAGGGTGTGGATCCCCAACCACCTGCGGATGTGTTTTCCCAGGAAATCACCGAGACAGTGAATGTCTTGGTGAATGACGGATCAAGTGTAGGCGCTTATACACTTGATCTGGTTAAACCTCCGAAGTCAGCTTCGGAGGTAATAAAGTTGTCAACGCTAGAATCTAAAAGATTCTTGCGAGATATGCGTCGTGGCAAGATCAATCAGATCTGCGTACTCGTCACAGAGGACAAGTACGTCGCCGATATTCGGTCGGCATATGTGTTTGCTGAACGAACGAGTTCTCAGTAGCTCATCGATAGACGAGATTGTCCTCGATGAGAAGACCTGGATTGAGCGGTACACGTCTCAACATTGGGAGTCTTTGAAGAAAGATCCTTTGCAAAAGGAATTGGTTGAATTCAGAGATGTTTTCCCTGAATTCGTGCCACGCGAGCTGCCTAAGGACAAAGGCACTCAACACGAGATCGAACAGAAATATGGTTTGAAATACTGTGTCATGAAGCAGTGGCCACTGCCTCGTGAACTGGTAACAAAGATCGACAAGTTCTTTGCCAATCGCTAAGCGGTTGGTTAGTTGAGGGAACCAACATCCCCAAATAGCTCTCCGACCTTCTGTGTGCGAAAGGCCACAGGGGGGTAGCGGATAGTTCCCGCGTTCAACAAATTGAACTCTGCAACGGTACGGCTCAGACGCCGAAACCGATGATGGACTTCATCATAAATGGTACGGAAAAAGTACCATATTTTCGTCCATGGGTCTGATGGATGGATTCTACCAGATCCTTATGCGTGAATGGGACATCCCGTACACAGCAGTGAGCACCCCAGTGGTATGCTCTGGGGGGCTAGTGGTGCCACAGGGGCTACGTAACGTCTCTGCTACGTTCAGTAGATGTGTTACGAATCTGTTGCGATCGGTGCGCGATTTCGCACCAAGTAACTTTGACGATGTCTTTGTCCATAGCCGGGATATGGATGGAAAAACAGACTTGGATGCTCATAGAATCTACGTCCGAACGGTTCTTACACTCCTGCGATAGCGTAAGTTGTTCGCGAGACACAAGAAGTGCATCTTCGCAGCGAGAGAAATGCCACTTCTTGGCTGCATCGTGTGGAAATGGCGTACGCCCTGATCCGAAAAGATTAAGGCTATAAGCGACTGGCCTGTTCCAGTCGACGTCAAGGAACTACAAAGGCTCCTTGGCTTAGCGGCGTACTTGCACAAGTACTCGCGCAACTACGCCGAGATGACCATACATCTATCTCGTCTGTTAGGAAAAGAGTAGAGGTGGTCGTGGAGTGCTGATTGTCAGCACTTCTTCAAATGCATCAATAAAAGCTTGGTACAATCGTTGGTTTTAAGCATCGCAGACCAGGACAGACCATGCCGTGTGGTCTATGACGCCAGCGATTTTGCAATCGGCTGCGCGTTGATGCAGTGCGACTAATACGGAGTTTAGCGCGTCGTCTGTTATCAATCGCGTCAGCTGCAAGCAGCTGAGCGCAACTACCCAGTGCATGACAAGGAGCTCCTTGCCATGAAATATGCACTGGATAGATTTCGGGTATATCTCTTAGGAGATAGGCCCTTCATCGTTTATACCGACCATGCTTAATTAGGCACGGCCGTAAACAGTCCACTCCTCCCGCATAGAATGGTCAGGTGGCTTTCTTTCTTCGCGTAGTACAGCTTCTCCGTCGAGTATAAACCAGGACGACTTGATGTCGTCGCTGATTCTCTTTCGCGTCGGGCTGACTTCGAGCCGACTGCTCAACCGAACAGTAGGGGTGATCCCACTGTAGCAACACTAACAGTGATTGTTCTGTCGTCGAATCTGCTCGACGAAGTGCGTAAAGCATACGCAGAAGATGAGTCGCTTCTGCGATTGATGGATTACGTATCCAATCCGTGCATTCAAGCTCTGAAAATCTTGTCGTCGCAATACCGCTCTTCAACCGAACGGTACTCTGTTCGTGATGGACTGCTGTACTACACATCAGTCAACGGCGACGCACCTCGTGTCATCGTTCCCGCTCATGCTGATTTGCGATTGCGCTTTATGTATGAGTGTCACGATGCCCCAGCAAGTGGGCATCGCGGTAGAGAAAAGAATCATTTTGCGGTAAGTCGTGA